TGTATTCAGAAGCAGGAGTTAATATTTTCCACCTAATCTCACTTTTATTAAGCTATTATTTTTATGGCCTGTTAAAAACAAATCTGCTCGGGATACTGCTAACTTTTTTTTCCTGGCTGCCTCCGTCTATTAGCATTTCAAAAGTATTTGTATTTAACTAAGCATCTCAAGTCTTAAGAGACTAGGAATTACATCTTTAGTCAGTTTATTAAACATGATGAAAGATTAGCTATCAAAGTTCGTATGCAAATCCTTCAGTGATAACTGCGTTGAAAGCTGCATTATTTTTTAAACAGACGCTACTCAGCCCTGGTTCCAAAAACATCTCTCTCCACCGAGGGAAGATAGATCCAAAGCACAAAACCGAGTGTAATTTTTCCTCTCCTGACTATTTCAGCAAAGTTCCCCCATCCATGAAAGCAGGGAGCCAAGTATAACATTAATCTCATCCTTTTTTTTTTAATCTTCCAAGGAACTTTTAAGACAACAAAGTCTCTAAACCAACTTGCAAACTCACGATCCTCCAAGTACTTTTACATTAAATTGTTTCTGACAGGGACATGCCAAATATTATTATTTTTCACACTATGAACCACCTCCCTCTTTCGCAGAAATATTTCCAGCACTAGTTACAGAGAAAACTCTGACAGTAGTCATGACAATCTATTCCTACACAGAAATAGAAATGCCTCACTTCTTTATTTCCCTTCTCCAAGAAGCTGCAGTTTATCACTTGACGGGGCTCCTTAGTGAAGATAGTGATTTTTTTAAATTCACTGTACGAAGGCTGCTGTAAAAAGGAACAAATTCCACGTCACCTTCTACATGGAAATCCTGCATTCCTGCTAGTTGTGGGCACAGGAAGGGAAACTATAAGACTTGCTCCCCATTTCTGCAAATGAACAATGCCCCTTGGAAAAGCTGCCTGGCTCCCAGGTTAAAGCTTGCAACGTGAGCTTGCCCAGAGCCGAGTAACTTGGGCTGAGCCATGGTATCTCTGTGCCTCAGTTTCTACTGGGCGAACAACAACAAAAAAAAAACAAAAGAAACAAACAAAAAAAAGAGGCCTGCACTTACCTACAGTGCGCATATTGTTGGGGGATTAAATTAATTAGTGACTGTAAAACACATTGAGTTCTTCCAAAGGGAGACTTTAGAGAAGTGCAAAGTAATATAAATTAATCACTCCATTACATAGACTGGCTCATTCCAGAGGAGGGTCTCAGCCACGTGGTCGTGACAACAGTGTATAAATAAGGATAATGGCCCATTATGACTTGGGCTTATACATCAGTCACCATTAGGCTGAGAATGGACACCGCGGCATGGACTGGGACTCGACAATAATGCTTTTTTTAGTAGCTTTTACCTTTCTCTTTGAAACCCGCCCCTGCCCCAACTGAAACTTTCAGCCCAAATGTTTGTGAAATCAAGAACACATGAGAAAAATTGAGAATACACCAGCAAAATAATTTTGGGATTTGAGGCTGAGCTGTAAGTTCCCATGATTGAAACTGGTTTTGCACCACTGCTTTTCTCATTGGTCAATAGTTTCTAGTGCCAAAACCATAGTCCAGCTAGTGACTGATTCGAGTCATGGTCGCATGACTGATTTAAAATAAAAGAGGATTCAGGTGCCCTAATGCTGCACCACTTTAAGGGCAAAAGACCTTCTACAAGGGATGTTTTATCTTATCCCGTGGCATTTGAAATACATTTCCTGACTTTTGTTTTGGTTCTGAAGCTTGTTGAGTACTTTGTACAAGCTGGGGGGGGGGGGGGGGGGGGAAGAAGCAAAGGGAGAAGGAAAGGAAGCAACAAAAATGTTTGTGTATTTAAACGATCCCAGAAGCACCAACTGCCTCCCATGACCATTACCAGATGCTTCATCCACCTGGGGGATGTGCTGGGCTGAAAAACACAAGCCCCAGCAGGTACCAGCGCAACAGCCCCATCAAAGGGAGGACCACATTTGATGAGGCTTCCGAAGCAGTAATTGACTTGTGTCACAGTGAACATCAAGCCTTAATAAACAAAAAAGCTACAGACAAAATTATTTGGTTAATGGCTAAATTGGAGACTCAATATAAATAACATTACATATGCTTATTACTGCAATCCAACAACAGCTGGGCTTTGAGTCAAGTTAACACAAGTTAACACAGTGGGGGAAACCATTGCTTTCTGCTTATATTAAAGAATAAAATGGATTTTTTTGAGCACCAAGCATGTGGAAAGGGAAAAAAAGAGGTCCTGGCCAAGGAACGAAAGGCTTGACCATAAGTACATAAATAAAAGAAATCACCTTCTATTACAGGCAATAAAAACTGTACTCAGCATCTTTTGATATATATCTCCTCAAAAGTTTTGTGAGCACAGCCCTCTTGTGGGCTCATTTGTGTTTCCGTAACAACTGCAGACAGGGAACGGCTAATTCCTTTACCTGTTGGATGAACCTCCGCTCCTGCAGGCTACGAGAGAATTGGCTGCAGGTATAATC